GGTCAATTAAAAAAAAAGGGAAATATACTTTTACAGATGTTTTCCAAACATTGTTTTCTTATGAATGCACCAACAGTTTTAGAAATAGACTGGCCAAACAAAGGGGCACTGTATTTTTTCACAGCCCAAAACTATTCTTGGCAAATGAGGGCGCTGTAAGAAGTGCTACATCTGGAAAAATACTTCCAGTGGTGCCAATAAGAATACTCCTTATAACCCCCCCACATCATTGCAGCGCCCTCACTGATTCCCAAATGCTGCACAAGAAACACAGAAACCTGCTGTCCATTTTGCATAAGTTTTGCCCTTCAATTCTCTCATTTCACTGCTGTTGAAGTTTGAATAAAAAGTTAAATTACTGGGTCCCATGGGAAATGCTTACAAATGGAAAAGAGTAGGATTTCACAGGAATTTTTTTCACTCTGAAATTCTCCCAAGTTGGGGCTGCATAACTGGAAAATGGACAGCAGGTGTTTTTAATACAAACACACAACACAAGAACAAATGTTTGTATTTATTCATCTCATCAACACAAAGAATCCACACTAGCACATCATATTACCACTGTGTCCTTCAGCCCTTAATTTCAAAACCTGTGATAAGAAATATGTTTCCAATTTAAATATCCGATTCCAAATTGAAATACGTCATCTGCGAGATACTAACGCAAAAACTTCATCCTGAAAAAGCAACCGATGAACAAAAATGTGACTTCTATCTAAACAATGCCAATCCATCCATCACAGTGGTATGAACCGTTTTTTGTGACCGTTTATCACACTTGACATTAGGAATGAAATTCCCCTTTCAAAGTTGAGTTAAAAGATCATCAGGTTTCTGGGCTGATGGTTTCTTGTTGGTTAGTTACTGCACAATGGCCATTTCATGTCAGGCTCAATACACTTGGGTCAACAATATTTTGCCAAGGAAGCATCACTGGATTTTCTCCATTGCAATTAATTGACCAACCGTATTCAGTAAAAAAACAGTTTTGAAATGCTACACTGGCGAGTCAGGTGCCTTTTCTGTTCAGACTTGTCAACAAATGATGCAATTTATGCTAAGAAGACCTATCATGAAATGGCCGTGGTGCTGGTATTTCAATATGATGTGCTAGGGTAATGAAACTCTTCAGCTTCCAAAACAATTTACAACATGAAACACATTGTAACCAAAAAAAAAGCGAAGGTGATTCCTCTCTCGGCACAAAAATTCAACCAGGCACATGTCTTTACTATAAGTTTCTATTATAGAAGTAAATTGCTGGAAAAGTGCGCATATAGGAATGCAGCCAGACTTTAACAGCTGGTCCTCAAATGTCTCTATTTGTTGGAGTTGCTTTTTTGTATGTGCTGAAATAAATATAGAAGTAGGATTAAATTTAATACAAACATAAATCACAACTGTAAGTACTTTTCATAAAGATATCTCTATATGTCAGAGTTGGGAAAAGACAAAAAAATGATAAATATGAGTCAAAATTACCCAAAGGTATTAACATATTTTCTAGGTTGCATTTTCTATCACAAGCGACATATGCCTGGTTGAATAAACTAATGCAAATCCATGACAATTTAGCTGAGGAGGTGATGGCCACTTGCAGCAAGGACAAAACATCTATTCAGCTGCACAACAAGTTTACTGTGACTGCAACAAACCAAATGATATGTTTTATTTGGAATCTTTATCCTGCTAGTCTTTCTTGAACTGGTTGTGGTGCAGCTATTCATCCTGATTACTGTCAGTAGTTGTGATTGATGTTTGTCTTTAGCCAATGAGGCCTATCAGGCCGGTGGCTATCTCCCGGTTTCAGTTTGTCAACTTGGTGGTACAGATTTTAAAAAATGGCCACATTAATGTTAGTGTCCTCTCATTGTCATGGATTTGCCCTTTCCTAAGATGCCTCCAGCCTCAGGGTTCAGTCAGTCTTGAAGATGAGAGTTCCACTAGTTAACATCAGATCCAGACATCCAGGAGGGAGTCACCGTCAGTTGTTCACAGTCATCTTCCCCAGGCACAAAAACATGAAGCGCTCATTGGCAACTTCAGCAGAAGCTATTTGTTGAAGGAAAACAAAACAAAAACATGGATTAGCTTCTTAATCGCGGTGTGTGATTTCAAGCAGGGTACAGGATAGAAACGTGATATTTCGGGTGGCCACACACCTGACAAAGGTAACCTACATGTACTCGCTTTGAATAAATGTCACCTGTATGACCTGTGATGTCTCGTCTGTCGGTTACTTGCAAACCAAACAATGTTTTGCTGTAACATCAGCAAGTGAAAACTGACCCATATTTCTGGNTGAGTGTAGAACGGAATAAATTTGACATTTCCAAGCAAAGTGACTGACTGTCTAAGTGGCCACCCAGATTAGCACCAAGAACAATGCATTTTTCCCTCGTTTCAGAATTTTACTGAAAATTCATTTTGAATTCAAACTTTTGTAATGGGAGTTGTTGCAACCAGATGTGCTCTTGTGCTCACGCACAATCCTCACACATATTTTGTGAGAAAGTGTCATGACTTAAATTGACTAACAATGCATTATCTTGTATACCATGTTGCATTTACTTAAATACACTTTCTATCCTGTACCCTGCTTTCGTTTGTGATTTCCAACAACTGATGTCGTCAACAATCTTAGTACATGTTAGTAGAGCCAATGTAACAATCTTGGTATGCAACTAAAGCAGAAATCAAACCTATGCCTTGGCCTCCAGAAAGTCCAGTTGGGTCTAGAGTGAAGTAAGGGGAAAATGTTTCTCAAGTAAAGATCTCCCACAGGCCCGTTGCCTAACCAGAGATAGGGGGCGGGTTCATCAAACCCAGAAGCGGAATTTTTGGCACTGTGAATACACATTTTCATACAAAGGCCTATCATAATGTGCTTTCGAAAAAGTTGCATGTTTGTTGCGAACTGAAGGATGCAATTAAGACTTAAATACTTCAGTTTTTAATATCCACGGCGTGTCCTAAATTGGCCAGGTATGATTTACGCGTCACCCAGCACCTTGAATCAGGCACTGGGTGATGAGCGAATGATATGAACATCATTTTTTTAACATCTCAGAGAATGCCACCAAAAAAATCAGACGTTCTATAAGAATGATAAATTCTAGTAAATGATTATTACCTGCACTCACCTAACCAAAAAATGTTTAAAATATGTTTATATTTTGGGGCACATTGAAAAAAGTTCATTTTGCAAAAAAAGGAAAATTGGGCCCAACTAAAAATTCATCATAATTTTGCAGCGGATACATGATATAAACATTTATGAATCAGAATATTTGGAGTTTGATTAAACTTCATCTTTCTTGAGATTGAAGGTAAAATATTGTTCCACACAAAATTGTTAGAAGCAAAAATTTGAAGTGTTCAACGTTAGGGGCCGTGCCACTTTTTGGTACAGAATCTTCAATTGTAACATGAAGCAGTACGCAAATGAGTGCTGTCATTAAACCAAAACTTTCCCAAGTCCTTGAAATTACCAATTGCAGTGGGCTAGATTAATGTCCTTGCTGGGTGGGCCATGCAGCAGTTCCTTCTTTTTAACATTTTACCAATTTACTAGTAAAATAACAAACAACATGGATAACACAACCGTAAAAGACAAAAACAAACAGACGCGCCACGCAATTTGTGAGGTGTGAATGGTACTTCATGGTACATTTACAAGTCTTTTCATTATCTCTGGACTAGTTTCCTTCATTTCCAACATGTTAGTAGAGCCAATGTAAACGGCAACCAACAAAAACATGACTGTGTTGCCCCCACGCCCGGAGTGCTGTGTCGCTTGCACGTGTGGCCAATCGGCGGCCTGGGCTAGGCTGACCGATTTTATTCTTCAAACGTTGCCATATAAACTGCCCGGAGTATAAACCACTGGGACATTTTCAGTGTGAGAATCAATGTGTAAGCCATGGCTTGTATTCCGACAATTACGGTATATTAAAACTATGTATTTCTTATAAAAAAAAAAACAAAACATCAACAAGCGGAACTCAGAAGCAAGCGGGTGGGTTCGTTTGAACCCTTAAACCCTCCCCAAGCCTATGGGCCTATCCCACAAGAAAAAAAAAAAGAACCAAGAGGGATACTCTACAACATGTGCCCACATTTTTGTTATTTTTACCACATCAAAACAGCAATGAGAAATACTAAATTTATTTACCATGATCTCAGAAACATTCAAGCATTGACTAAATTATATCGGGTTCATCAATTTGGCCATGTTAGCATTGGTAGACGATAAAAGGCTTCACAATCCACAAATACCATGAGAGAGCTCTGAAATTAGGGTGAGGTGGGTGTTGTCACTTAAATTGTGAAATAGTATTCATACAGCAAGAAATAGGGCTTATATCTGTGCCATTAGAAGGAACTTGGAAAAGGGAAGCAGTACCAAATCCCTAATTTTGTCTATTGGGGCTCTGAACAGAAGAGCCTTCTCATTAGCAAAGAAAAGAGAGGTTGAGGAGGAACCATTTATTTAGAAGTTAAACCAGCAGGGTTCCCACGACCTGGAAAAGTCATGAAAAAGTCATGGAAATTTGTTTGTGTTTTCCAGGCCTTGAAAAGTCATGGAATTTTGTAAAAATGACTAAAGTCATGTAAAAATCATGCAATTTTTCAAACACCGTTTGTTATGTCTATTATCAGAAATAAGTGCATAAAATGTGGGATTGTATTCACAACTTTTAAAGTCTGAATAGTCCAAGAAAGCACGTTATTGGGTCGTGGATTTTCATAATTTGGTCATGGAAAGTCATGGAATTTCCTTGTCTTTTAGGTGCAAGAAACCTGCAACAATCTTAAATGAGGGTAACCCATCCAGCAAATGCTCATCATTTAGGCCCTCATGACAAAGAAGACACTGAAGAAATGCCCAGTTTAAGAGGTGGGAGGAAAACCCTGGATAAGTTTTTCCAGGGAAACCCACAGAATTAGGTAGGGAACGAAAATACAATCCACATGAAGACCGAGGTGGTGGAAAGAGGTGGATTGCAAGGAAAGACTGTTTCAACTGGGCATCAGACCTACACTCGTAAACATTGTACATTTTAACTCAAGTCTTGTGACATAGGCGCTCAGTAAAGGTTGCACCGAGCACACATAACCCAAGTCCCAAACATACCGGTACATCACTGCTGTGCAAAGACATGCAAGCTCTTGCTAACTCAAAAAGCACTTGAACTTTTATAAAAAA